CATCCATATGCACTGACATCAGAGAGTACTGACCGTGGCGACGAATGGCTAGGCTGTTCGTATAGCCTTGTGCCACGTAGTGTTTGTCGCAGTTCCGGCAGCAGATCTTATAGATCACACCTGTTTCTTCCTCTTTGCTAAAGTTACCTTTCACTTTGAAGAGTTTACTGCGAATTGTTTCCGTTGGCTGGTGTGCAACATTGACTCCAAAAGGTACTAACGGCCTCGCTGCCATTTCAGAGATTCCGTTGATATAGGGAAAAGTATTGCGTTTGTCGAAATGCGCTGAGGAGCCATTTGTGGTGCAAGTTCCGCTTGAGCGGACTGAAGATATGGTCTTCCCCGGCCCATCTCAGCTGCGGTGTGCTACAATGTGTTTGCGCTAGTTTGAAAAGGGTTCGAACGCAGCTGCGTTTATGGGCTGCCGGATGATTTCTGCAGTAGTTGAGGATTTGGTGCGTATGCGTAGATTTTCGGTAGACTGTCGTTTCCAATCGTCCAGCACCAGTCCTTCGTATGAGAACGTCTAAGAACGTTTACTGCTCGTTGTTCTCTTCTCTGGTGAATTGGATGCCATCGAACACACTGTTGAATAACTCGTGTGTTTCCGCCAATTTGGAACGCTTGAGGATGACGAAGGTGTCGTCTACGTATCGTACCCAAAGTTTTGGTCCCGCGATCGGAAGTGCTATTTGTTCCAGTGCCTGCATCACTGCTTCGGCTACCAGACCAGAGATCGGCGATCCCATTGGTGTGCCTCTTATCTGTTCGTACATTTGGCTATTGAAAGTGAAGTGTTGTTAGACAGAATTCTAATAACTCCAGCATCTGTTTGGTGTCGAGTTTACTGCTTGTATCAGACGACGTGTGATCCTCTAGCAAGCGGTGCATTTTTTTGTTACGCCAAGCTGATGTCGATTGAGGTGAACAAGGCGGTGACATCAAAAGAGACTATTATTCCGTCCCGTTCAATAGTTGCGGTTTTAAGTTTCTCAAGGAACTGTTCTGCCGAGTTGATCGAGTCTGCCGATCCCGCGATTAGATGTTTCAGCCGCCTCCAGAGTTCCTTTGAAAGCCTGTAATTTGGTGCTCCAAGTAACGACAGGATGGGGCGAAGCGGCACTCCATTTTTGGCTTACTTTAGGTAAGCCATAGAACCGCGGTAGTACAGAGTCTTGGGGTTGCATCATCTTATGTTCCAATTTTGTGACTTTCCCCATCTGTTCCAGTCTTTTCAGAGTGCGTTTGATGTTGCCTTCTAATCTTTTTGTCGGGTCTTCCTTTATCGGCTGGTATGTGTTGGTATCTCTGAGTAGGTGTTGTGCTTTCATCATGTAATCAGCTTTGTCCATTCTAACGATAAGTAATCCTTTGTCGGCAGGCAGTATAACTATGTTCTTTTTCAGAGCTTTCCGTTCAGCGGCGTTGAATATGGTGGTTTCAAGTTTATGACTGAGAGCCGGGATGATTATGTGTATGACTTCTTGTTGTGCTTCAGGCAGGATGTTGTACGATGTTAGCGTTGATTCAAGTGCAGCGAGGAAGTCGATGGGATTAGAGTCCTTAACATTGAGTTGTATACCTCGGACAATGACTGCTTTTTCTGCGTCCGTTAATCTTATTTTGCATATGTTTGTTATCTAAGCATCCCCTTCCTTAGTTGGTGTCTTTTGCCAGATCGCATACAGATTCTCTCCAAGTCTCCGTTTGTTGTTTAACTTTGTCTTGTGTGCTGTTGTGGCTATCGCATTTTCCAATCCTTCAGTTAATTGTCATCCTAGTCTGGCATTAAAAGCAGAACTCGATCAATAAGCACTTGAACAAGGAAATCGCTTACAAGGCCCTGCGAACCAAGCCCATGAAGCCGCATTGATGATACTGTCTTGTCTGGCAAAGAAACGCTTGCAAAATAATCACTCAGATAGGAGAACAGCTCAAAATCTGCGGTCTCTTATTTCAGCCAACCAGACAATGTCACTTACTATCATAAAATTCAGTGGCGACGGCAAACCCCAACTGATAATGAACCAGTTTACTTTATCTATAGATTCTGGGGTCACACCGGCTCAGTGGAAGGAAGTCATAGTGACGCCACCTAACAAATCAGGTTCACTTTGAAGCAATATACTAAAATCCGATTAGTCACACATCAATCACATCAAATATGACGTAGAGTCATAATAAGTCCAAAACGGTTGAATCCATACTGTCTCGACGCAAAAAGGTAAATCTAGCGCTAATTTTCAATATTCTGCACAAATGGTGCATACGTCAAGCATAAATTTGTCGTTTCAAAGCCAACTGTGCACCATACAAGCAACAAAGAAATCTCTGTAGAGGAAAAAGGCCAAGGACAAACACGCCACCAACTTATTTCTTTACCAATACCCCAGAATATGGAACTAACTGTCGGTCAATATTCGTGCAGGCATATTGGAGTACGACTTTCATAAAAGATTTGACAATTACCTGACAGTCTACAAAGTCAGTAACCTTCTGGGATGTTCCATAACGAATCGTCGAACACAAGGCACAGGCAGTATATTACTGAAAAGTGCAAATGATAGTTTCAATCAAACCGAAAAATCAGCTGCCGTTCTTCAATATACCTTTGTCTTCTATTGTATACTGCAGCTTTACCTGGATCGAAGGCTCACCGTTGACTAGTGGCCCACTGGCCCATCAGTGGGTTGAATATCCAGGCTATATGTTATCCTCTTCGGTCCATCTTGGCCTGCAATAACTTGCCTTGATTTTACTTGGCTCCAGTGCATTAGTTAAACTACTTCCAAATTGGTTGGCTGAACTTCAAAACCCAGTCAACAAACTCTCAACTCACGAATTCGCCACAAGTTAACCTGCTTGTACACTTGACATTAGCTTGTGGGACTACTGACGAGTTGGAAGGTTGGGCACCTAATTCCTTTCGCTAGGGTTCAACCAGCCCTGTCCAAAAAGACTTCGCTTAAGCTTTGATTTCAATATCCGGTAGTGAAACAACCGATGCATTTGTAAGACTGTCACTCAAGTGCAGTTTAGTATATCTTTGATCTACTCCATACTGGACTAGCTGCCGAAATAAACTTCCAGTCACTGTCGGCCTATCAAAGCAACGTTCTGCACACTTGTATTGTCATATAAACCCGCAACCTGCGTCCTAGTTAGAAATGTATTTGTCGAAATATTTTGCCGTCTGCGGAAATATGTACTAAAGCTTCCAATAAACTAGACCGATTCTGCTCAGTTTCGTATACACGAACCCTACAATCGATTGCAACATCAACTACAGGTCGCTTCTATTTTCAAGTTCACGCCTTCCTTTGCAATTCCCTATGAGATGGCAGGGTTACAATCCACTTATATCTATTACATTTCTCGTTATAACTATTGGGATTGCAATGAGACGGTTGTCCCCAACGAACGATGCATTTTCGTAGGAAATATTTAGTTGATATCTATGAGCAGAATCGAAACTATTCATTGCTAAGAAACAGCTAACTTACCCTAACAGTTCTGAATGGAACTTGTATATAATCGTCGGAACAAGTTCACTGGACCGTGTCTCGCGTCTCTGGTAAAAGTATTATTATTATTAGCAGTCATAAAAGACGAAACAAAAACAGGATCAAGAAAACCTGACCAGTACACCCCGCGTTGGAAAGTTTCGAAGCTTCTCTCTTCCAGCAGTGCACTGTTGGGAGAGAGCAACTCCAAAACTTTCCACTTCAGATGCGGTTCCAGTAATCGAAACGCCAGATGGTTTGCTTCAAAGCAAACTGTGGTTCCAATCGAGATTGCATGTCACAATCCAGATACACGGTGACTATTCCAAGACCCGACAATATACATCACGCTTTGTGCCGTTTACTGGATAGAAAGAGCTACAGATCCATCCTGCCAGATGCAGAGAGGCGACTAAAGTCCAGAGATAGGAGATTAGCAAGCACCGGCAGGAAGTTCAAACTGCACCAGTGTAGCACCAGAGAGCACGCTATCAAACACATCACTTGGCCATCTCATCGGAAATGATTAATACCTCAGTCCGATAACGCTACAAAAAACTGGATCACTGACCCGAGAAGCGCTACTAGCGGAACTCAGTAGTGTAGTGTTGAAGGCGTCCGTAAACAGACACCATGTGACGAGCTCCAAACTAAGTCCCTGCAATCTACGCCTGAGGAGTGCAAACTGGAGTGAAACCTACTGTAGACTGATGCACGGCTGGAAGTGAACAACAATGATACTGCAGTTAGCCAGTTGGTGTTGGGAAGAAAATCCTCTGGTGTCGCGCCGGAGTTGTGACAAAGTCGGCGGCTGGGTAGTTCTCGGGAAAACCGATGAACTCCTCTCTCGTCATTAAGTATAAGCTTCCTCTACAGGTAGTCAGGTGAGACCGCGGATTTGCCAGTCGATGGTGTGACAGGTTAGCAAAAAGAAATGGACCGAGAGACTTGATGAGGTGAGTACGCACCCCGATAGGGTGCCTCGGGATGAGGAAAATCAGTGGTTAGAGACCACATTTGATACGGTTCAGTTGAGGAGTCAATGGCGGTTCTGAATTCAGCCCCGCGCACCCTGCAGTAACCATGCAAACCTGATCCATTTTATCCACTTTTAAACATCTCTGGCATCCCACTTTCGTTCCATATTGTCTTTCATACCGTTGTTAATCAGTTATTCTGGTAACATGGGTCGTATCAACTGAATCCACCGTAGTTCAATAGTAGTACTATCGTTGTTAAACGGAACAAAGGTAAACAATCGACTGTACATTAAGCAAAGTGGTTTAGATAGCAGTCAAACCCTAGATCGGGCGTTGTAAAACAATGAGCAGTCCAAAGATGAAAGTAATAATATTTGACGGGTTTTCGGAGTTTGCCGATTTCAATGTAATTTTTACTTGTCCACATGAAGAATGTGGTAACAACAGAGTCTTGTGACGTAGCCAAATGGTGGGCTTGTTGAATTAATGAATGGTGGACAGGAGTAATTCTACTCACCTCCATAAGTGACTTCAGGTCGTGTTCTACGTAATCCATGACTAGGTAAATTTTATCCATATTGCTACCAACGACAACTTCGCGGACGGTCACGATGTTCTCGTGTTGTGCTTTCATCAACGTGTTGATCTCACGCAGGGAAGTGATGGGGAACCCATCGCGCTCCTTCTCCATCTTTAATCGCTTCAATGCGACTATTTCATTTATCTTTTTATCGCGTGCACGATACACCACACCGTAAGTGCCTTCTTCAATTCGGTTCAGGCATTCGAACTCTTCCACTGAACGGCAGCCCTGACACAAAGGAAAGTAAAACAGGCTATTTCAGCGAAGATGTAAGCGGAATGAAAATATCGTAGTTTATTCAAATTGCTGCTTCTGATGCAACAGGGGGTGTACCGAAGGTGTCGCAGAGAGAGAAACAGAATAAACCGGAGGATCAAACTTACGATAACAAACCTCTCCGTGTAGCGAGGTCTAAGTAGTAAAGTCCAACTTGTCTAAGGCGAGCACTCAGGGGACCAATAAAAAGTGGTCTCCTTGGACAGGTGGTCGCCATAGACAGGTTCATGAGTAGGGGACACGAATTACCATCGATTGAACATGTGTACTATGCTCTCAAATGCAAACTACATTCGTACACAGACAACATGAATAATTAATTTTAGTCCTCGAATTAAAGTAAAAACAGTGCTATTGTATGCTGTGAGATACATAAGGAATAAAAATGTGAAAAGGTAGTTTAAGTAGACGTTATAAAAACTAACCTACAAATCCGCGCGATCCAAAGGTTTCAACCAAAGCATACACACACACTTCAATTCTCCGTAGCATTTTCCCCCAGATGAAAAAAACAAGTATAGAAATCAGTTGCATTGAAATGGAAACGAAAGATGAATTTAGTGTTTCCCTCAGGTTAATGATAAGTTCAAGCATGTCAATGAGTCCTTTACTTATTGCGTAGGAGTGCAAAATACCAAGAGCACCCTGTGCGTCTCTGAATGTATACGCTATCAGAAGGGCTATAGAATCGTGTATCTGCTCCTCGTCTGATTCCCTATTCACATTCGCAGCTGCCAAAATTGAAGTGCTAAAAAGGTCCCAGTCTATATGCGTTGTGTTACAAGATTTAAATCAACCATGGGACTGTCAGTAAGTTTACATCCAAAAAATTCCTGTGAAAGTTTATCCAATGCAGTGGAGGTTGCAGGAGGTACAATTTGATAGTCTGCATTACGTACAGTTTGCAGTGTTGTACCAAAATCGATGTCTCCAGGACAAGTAAACTCGCCTTTACAAAAACACCTCGAGATTAATGAGTACTCCAACTCCTTCCACATGGCTGCGATCCAGAACACGAGCTATAATAAATTCACCCTTAGTATAAATTCAGTTCTTGACATATCTTTGAGTGAATACATGCTGGTAAAAATAGGTGGAACCTAGCGATGGTTCGAAATACCTGCAGGTCGGGTTGGTAGTTAACGTTTTGATTGGTTCTCCGAGCTGAGTAATTTAATGGCAAACGTTTCACCACTTCGCTCAGTGGCATCTTCAGTGCACGGCTGCGTAGAGGATAATCTCACGGAAAGTGTCGTCGGGACGTACTGTTTGAAATTGGCCTCGTCGATCCGTGTCCCGTGATCTCTGTTCGTTCGATTTTTCGCCTCCTATTTTCATGCTTTCTCAGCTGTAGGTACACTGGATCGAGGTCAACGCGGAGGTTCACTGAATTCTCCGTACAGAACCATGTCTCGAGGAATCCTCTTCCTTTTCTTATGCCTCCGTGCGCCAGAATTTCCGTGTTGTCCCAGTTAACATTGTCCTTCCACATCGGGATGCGTTGGGATCTGTAACGATGCATAATGGTATCGACATGTACGCTTGCGCTCTTGTATTCTTGTAGCTAGTTTTCTCCCGGTTTTACCCACGTAGTCTTTCTCACAGTTCTCGCACTGTATCCTGTAGACGACATTTCGACGTTCGTATGCCTCCAGTTTTCCTTTAGGTCTAGACAAGATTCCCTTCAAAGCCGCAGTTGGTATGTGAGCTAAAATCAGGTTGTGCGGCTTGATGAGTCTGGCTGACCTTTCTGAGTCGTTTTTGATGTATGGCAAGGCGATAGGTTTCCACGTTGTTGGTGCAGGTGAGGTAGTTGTGCTAATTCCGTTTAGGTGTCTACGGATGAAACTGCGTGGGTAGCCTTTGCGATAGAAAGACAGATGTTCCTCCTCCGTTCGTTTCGTCTCCATAGTATTGCAATGTGATACTATTCTACGAAACAAGGTCCGTATACAGCTTATTTTGTGACACCCAGGGAGATTCCTGTTGAAGTTAAGGATTTGGTCGGTGTGTCGCAAAGAGACTGGACCTTAACGTGGTGCAAACGTTTACTTACATTATTGACCCAGTGAGCTATACTGGGTGATGCCTCTGCGCCGCTTGAGAGCTACTCCTACCAGGTTGATCAATGGTGAGAAGTCAGACAAGCTCAGTCTCCTGGTTCTCCAGATTTGGGGTTTGAAATGGGATAGCGTCAATTTCTGTAAAACTAAATCATTGCCACCTCCACGTTACTTTGCGGACAGGCTTTTGAGCCAAAGGCTTTGAGTGAGGACCCTACTCGTCATCCTGTCTAGGTCTGGGCGCCCTGGTAGTATCTCAGCTCACATACTGTTATGACTTTTTCTTCAAACATAAACTTCATCCTGCATCGGCCGTCATGCAGATTATCAAGGGTCGCCTTCTCTGCTGCATACAGCAGGGCGGATAAGCGAAAACATGCTACTGCTGGCGCCTCCCTACTTTCTTTTCCACATTTTTCTCTTACTCCCATCACGAACCCATTACTAAACTTCCTTCTACACTTCCCAGCTTAATTGTTAGCAACCGAAGTGCCACTAGAGTATAACCATCTGCAGCCACCATCCCGCAACACCTACCGGACGCCTATCGGCAAAGATCCCTTATAAGGCCACGCTGTCCCGTTTCCATGGTGACGTTCAACGTTCGCACTCTAAAACAAACAGGTCAACAGGCTGCACTCGCACGCACCTTGGACACATTGGGTATTGATGTGTGTTGTGTGTCCGAAACTAGAATCAATGACCCTAATAGGGTTGTTGAATTAACTGCATCCGGCTTATCCTCTCGTTATTGGTTGCACGCATCCGGAGACACCGATGCAGCAGCACTCACAGGTCGGGCTGGTGCAGGTATCATTCTAAGCTCCAACGCTGTGCCATCCTTGTTTGATTGGATTCCGGTAAATAGCCGTTTATATGCAACCCGTTTGACGACATCAGGTAAGGTTGATTCACGAAGTAATACGAAACGTTGTTTGTTTGTGATTTCCGCTTATGCTCCCACCGGCAGCAGTTCGGATGTTGTCAAGGACACATTCTATCACGAACTGAACGCGCTACTACGCAGTACTACTAGTTCAGATATTATAGTACTTGCACAGAATAAGAACGCGCAAGTAGGGCGTCTGAGCTCTTCAGAAGCTCAGCTGGGTGGTACTTATGGGCTTAACTCCGAACGGACTGACAACGGTGAGCGTCTGCTGCAAATGTGTATGGAGCACCGGTTATTTCTTAGTAGCACTGCTTTTTGACACAGTGGGCGCCGAAGTGCCACTTGGCGTCTCCCTGTATCTGGCCAGCGATGGACCCAAATTGACCACATGGCCATAAGTTACAGGCGGCGTGGTTCCATCCTGGATCGCCGCTCCTACGGGAGTACCTGCGTCGACGTTGATTATGCCTTGATACGCTGTCGTTTCTCCATGAACTTTGCCGGGAGGCTCACCAAGCCTCTCATCCGTTTGGCAATGGAGAAATTGTCTCAGTACTCGGTCAGGCAAGCCTAACAAGCAGCACTGCATACCGAATTTCCGCTTACCTGTCCTAATGACACTGAGCTTCAGTGGAATAGGATGTCGGACGCCATGCACGACGCAGGAGCATCTGCTTGTGGCACTATCCATCGTCACCACACCAGTCACTGGATATCCGAGAGGTCGGTGAACCTGTTGGAATTTAGAAGAAACCTCACGCCTGGTTCTGAACACAATGTGACCAGATGGGCTATTAGGCGCGAACTAATGCGGAGCTTATGTGCTGACAAGGAAGCCGGGTGGACCAGTAGGGCTCAAGAAATGGAGGAGGTAGGAGCAGTAGGCAATTACCGTAAGCTCTTCCAGCTGATCCGCACCACTGGTCCCAAGAAACGAGGCATCAGTGAGACAATCAGAGACAGGGTGAGTGCACTAATACACAATGAGGAGCGTCATATGGATCGTTGGGCGGAACACTTTCGAGATCAGTTCAGCTTGCCTTCTGCTCCAGGATCTCTTCCTACACTGGTGATACAGGACGAGCCATGCTCGGTTAGTTTAGGGTCTCCAAAGGAGGCCGAATTCCGAAACGCGATCACAGCTCTCAAGCGTTTCCGCGCCGCTGGCCCGGATTCCCTCCCATCTGCACTATGTAAGCATGTAGGTGAAGTCCTCTGCAAAGCACTGACCTCCTTATTCGAACGTATCTAGAAGGGAAAGTGTCCCGGCTAATTGGAGCGAATCGATTATAGTGGCAATATACAAGAAGGGCAGTCGCAAAGACTGTGCGAACCACAGGGGTGTTAGCCTAACGCCAGTTGTGACAAAATTACTGGCCTCGATTCGCGTTCGTCGCCCCACAATGGAACGGGAATCTTGGATTAGGGAAGAGCAGGCAGGTTTCCACTTAGGACCACATATTCACTTTGCGGCATATGCTAGAGCAGCGCCACGCATACCGCAGACCGACAACAGCTGTGTTCCTCGATTTCAAGAGTGCGTTAGATTCAGTCGATCGATCGATTCTGTTCGAAATGCTTGTGCGGAAAGATGTTCCCTTGAAATATGTGAACATCCTTCGTGCTCTATACTCGAACACTACAAGCCGCGTCTGCGTCTACGGTGGCCTATCGGATAGCTATCCGACCGCAAGTGGCGTTCGTCAGGGTTGTCAGATTTCCACATTTTTATTCAATTTCGTCGTGGATTCTATCATGGAGTGTTCCGTTGCGGAATCTCACGATGTAGGCGTTGAAGTGATGCCTGGTGAAAGATTAGTTGATCTTGATTGTGCGGACGATATCGTCTTGCTTTTCGACGATGTTGCGGCGGCACAATCAACCTTGAATACCCTGTCTAGAGTGTTCCCATTATTTGGTATGCACTTCGCATCTTTAAAGTGCAAAGTGTTGCTGCGGGACCACCAGCCACTTTATGACCCATGACCCTTGCTAAC